GAAGCTGGCTTGACCCTCTCGAACAAAATTTGTTTGCTGCGATGGGACTGAGGGGGACGGGAGCGCATTTGCACTCATTCTCTGGCATTCCAGCACTGCTGCAAGACTTATGAGCACCTGGTTGTGTCGCCAGGTGTAGAGACCTTGGGTAAGACTGGTCTTGCATCCCACTAAGATGTGCTTTAGTGTTCCTGGGCTTGGGCAGAATGAACATGTGGGGTCGTACCATACCATTGGCTTAGGTTTGCAGGTGACAGTAAAACATCATAAGCAGCTCTGATGGTAAAGCTTACCCTGAATGCCTCTATTTCCCATAGATCTTTCCAGGAGACCTTTCTTTCCTCAACTCCTCCACCATCCACTGCAGTTCTGACACGGAAATGACTATGACCTGGATGACTGAGAATCCTCAACAGCATATAGAACAAAATTAACTGCTATAAGACCACTATAGCATAACTGAGCCAAATTCTGACCTTTGTGCTGAAAACATTAGAGAATGTTTTACAAGTGATAGAAAACGTGCTTGTTCAAGTCACAACAAAATAAACCAAACTTACCTGCATGATGTTGTTTCAGCCCAAATCTGCTGTCACTCGTGACCTGCTCTCTATCAAAATAACAGCCACTGTTCAAATAAACGTAGAGCACAAGTCCAGACCTGGTGTTGTTCACATTAACAGGCAGAAGCTATTCTTGTAAAGAATAATGTTTTATTTTTTCTTTTAACTTATTTATTATATGATATTTGTTTTAGGGTAAAGAAATGTAACAAGTCCCTTAGAGGGCTGCTGAGTTGTAGGTTTTGTCCAGTACCAGTTGAACTTGCAGGCTGCAATCAATGAAGCTTACTGGTTAAAAAGCAGATGCAGCAAATCTCAGCAGGTTGCTCAACCTTGGTTTCAGGCCATTGTGAAAACATAATACCACCTTTACATACGCCCATTCTGTCACTTAAACTCATGTGTTGGCCAAAAGAAACAGACATGGCAGCATAAACAAACATGCACATACAATTCACACACACACAGCACTACTCTAAGCACACATTTACACATCAATATTTATACTCAAAGAGAGGACTGTTAAGAGCATTTTCCCTTGGATCAACCACTTAAGGATGAGGTGGGCACACTGAACCCAACATACAGATGGAGCAGAAGAGAACCTGTATGTTTGGATAAGAATAGACTTGCATGACTCCAAAATAGCACCTTTTTGCTTCACATATGTTTACTTTGAAAGTGTATCTCTTGCATTTTTACACCTCACTTGGTGACTTCATCACTTCCCTCAGGGCATAGAATATAGAAGTGAGTCAGAAAACTCAACAGGATTTCTCTCTGCACGCAAGCAGCAACTGGTAAAGAAGGTTTGGCACTCGACCACAAATGTGTGGTCCTATTTGGTCAGGGTAAATCCAACAGTCCCTAACAAAACACTCGGGACAAATTAAGTCACAAATGTAATAAATACATATAATTAAAATAAAGAGGCCAACACACAAATTGACACTCACAGACACACACACATACATCTATTTCATATATATATACATATATATATACTGCCTGGCCAAAAAAAAAGGATTCAACTAAGCAAATAGGTATGAGCCTCCTATTGGATAATTACTGCATGGGTGATTATCTTTCAACTGTCAACAAGTTATTTAACCCCAACTGGTGAAATGACTTGCTTCTCATTTCCTAAACAACCATGTCGAAAAACACATCCCGTGGTCGTGGAAAAGATGTTAGTCTGTTTGAGAAGGGTCAAATCATTGGC